TGACATTTTCTGTTTGAGAGTAAATGTCTGGTATTGCAGTTGGTACCATGAGCAGGAAATGCTAGATGCTTGCAACTAGCAAGATATTTCTTTGGATGGAGTTTGCCGCTAAAAAGCTTTCCAGAAATGAACATGCTAGTTACCAACAAAAAACTAAAGAAACAAGATTCAAATGCATACTTGTCTCAAATGAGAGCCTGCCGATGATCCCATATCCCGTGCCAGGCGTTGAAGGATCCTAACCAAAATGTAAGGATCAATGAAACTCTTCTGCACCTCAGTCAAGGTTTTGATGACTAGAAGCACAAAGCCAAGTGAGTTAGAAGAGTTATCATCACCCGATGTTTGTGGAGCTGTAACACTATTGATGTGCTTCTGTATTAGCTCATCAACCTTCTGATACAATAGTTTTATATCTGGAGGAGTACTAGCTGCATCTAGAGGAAAAGCCATGAAAACCATCTTCAACAAGGAGCACAATGATTTTCCAGCATCTAGCATTTTATACTTGAAACAAGGTTCAAGAATCTGAGAAACAAATGAAAAGAAACAACAGCAACACCATCAGTTAATATAAGAATATATATATAATCGAATACTAACTGGAAAAGTTGCTTACGGACCTGGGAAATCTGGGCAATGTTGTTCCTAATGAACAAATGCGGCTGCTTCTCTAAAACCTTGTTCATCACGTCCAAACCTTGTGCAAGAGCTGTGGACGGGTCCTTAGACTGAGATGGCTGGATGCTGCTTAGAAGCTTTTCTAGATAGTTGAACTTGACATTAGCAGTTGGCCAAACCTCCAAAGCTTGTGAAAGCAGCTCTAGTCCTTGTTTGTACATAGTACTTGCTTCCTTGTCCTTAGTTCAATAACCAAGGAAACCTGTTTCCAGAAAGCCACGTTAAATGCAAGCCTACACTTTACATGTTCCATTACCATTTCTATAAACTTCAACGTAATAAGAGCAAAATTTGAATAAAATGTTTAGCCCTGCTCAAGAAGTAGCTTTATAGGCACCTCACTGAAGTCTAACTATTCGGTATTTGGTTAATAGATGTTTTCAATCAGTTTTAAGCAATGGTAGCAATAACAATGATAATAAGTCATTCTCCAAAATAATTATGCATTTATTTGAAGTGCTTATTGTGCTTTTTTTTGTTTAACACAACCAGTTAATGTGTTCACGTTCTATATCTACGTTTGTAACCAAAGTACAAGGACTTTTTTATAATAAGCATCTTTATTCAAACATGAACCACTTATTTGTAAATCAACATTTGTAAACATTTAGTGCTTTAAGCATATTTCCTTCAAAAATCTTAAAATCCTTCTCAAATTTATACAGTAGAGCCCAAACAAATGGGAGAAAGAAAGATTTATGCTCCAGGTGCATTAAATAATTACTCCAAAATAAAAATAAAGCATAACATCAAGACCAAGAATGATATGAAGTGAATTTGCTAATGCACATTTGATGGAAATTCCAAATTTGACTCAATTTCCAGAAAACCACAGCATGAATGAGAGAGAGCAGCCTCATGTTCACAAATCACCCTCTTTCCTCTCCCTCTCCAAAACGAGGAAAAGAAAGGGTGGGGGGGAGGAGGGGAAGCCACAGCCAGTTCTTGTTGCAGGCTTCAGGCTTAGTCACGGGGCTACATAAGTGACATAGAAGATTGGTTAGTTGATAGCGCAAAAAAGTAACTGCTAGCATGCAGATACAGAAATTGAAAAAGAAAAAAATGCACTACCACCTAACTGGAACCTCGTACTTGCAAATTTCAAGGTGGAATGCTGGTATGTGATTACATACAAAAGAAACAAGATGAAAGAAAAGCCTCACCCTTATAAGAAAATTGATGATCATTTCTTCCATAGCAGCGTTTGGTTTAAATTCTTCATCAGGTTGGCCAGCAGATCCAGGGGTTTCTATATTAGGGATTGATGAGGCACCACCAGGTGACATAACACAGAGGGATTGAAGACCAGGTTCAACTTTAACTCGCTTGCTCGGGTCCTCAGGGAATGAAGATCCATCCAGTGGACGTTTAGGATCAGCACCAGCAGAGCTAGGGTTAAGCCCATCAGTAATCTGTGTGGGGCCATCACCATCAGTTACTATTTTCATTTCATTTTGCCTTTGTCTTTCCCAACTGACCACCAATCCAGCAAGTTCAATAGCAAGACGCCTATTTTCTGCCGTTGTATTATATGGCAAACCAAGCCGACTGAGAGAATTCACCATTTGAGGCACAAATTGCGCTCTGCAACTATAGAACAGATCTGAATGCCGAACAATGAGCTGGAAAATGTGAATCAAATTAGGAATTGAGTGGCCTTCCTCAACCAAAATTTTCTTGGTGTATCTTATCCAAATTGGCATACGCGAATCTCCGAGAGGAAGCCTTTTTGGCAATGCTGGCATTAGTATATCCAGTGCTTGTTTGACCAACATTTTATTCTCTGGCTGGCAAGTTCTAAGAAGTGCAACAAAAACCTACATTTCAAAACCTTACTAGTCAGTATGATAAAATTTTAGGATATCGTGCATATTACAGATCTGAGGTCAGTGGAATGCAGATATGCACATACATGCATGTCTGTTATGTTTTCACAAAATCCACAAGCCCCTTTCTGATAGTTACAAGCATATCATAACATTTAATTCCTCCATGTGTTTAGTTTTTGTAAATTCAAGTTCACTAGAAATATGCTACTCTAGAAAGAATCAGTTTTCACTATGTTAGTTGCAGCTACAAAAGTCTCAAGAAAGAAAACCATTTAGTGATTCTAAACTAAAACTTACTAAGCTGAAGAACTGTTGTTTAAGATTCTGTAAATTGGAAAAATGAGAACTTTTGGATTGAGAAAATACTGATGCAAATTTATCAGTTTTATACTCCAATTTCTGCGGAGATAGTATGGAAGAAACTACCTGAAGAATTATCTTTTCTGGGGCCTGGTAAGCATCCCAAGAAGTGGCAAACATTGACAAATGCCCACTGTTTACTGGCACTATCCTCACGTTTAAGATGATTCCATCCAAATTTGATTAGCTCTTTTCCTATGATGAACAAGATCATTTTGCAGATACTTCAGAAGCAAAGTTGCTAGTTGCAAAAGTTCTATCCTTAAAGGCTCATCATATTCAGCAGAAACCTAGGAAATACGTGGTGTATGAAGATTAGAAAGTTTCTGGAGCATTGTAAAGCACAAATTTCAAGATGTTGAAAACATATTAAAATTGTGACACTGAGAGATCACCTCTTCTGGAGGATCAAGTAGCTTCTCCACAATTGTTTTTATAATATTAGGGTCTACTACCTCCCAACTTTGGCCATTCTGGAAGGCATGAGCAAGCATTGGAAGAATTAGCATTTGCATAACCACAACCAAATGATCATGGCCAAGTTGTTTTGATTGAAAAAGGTTTAAAAAATGCAAGAGAAGTGCTCTCTTCATGCTGGGTGGATAGCCTTCGGCAACCTGAAACATTAAACGAATTTCTAATACTACCAAACAGATATTATAGACGATATAAAAAATAACTAAAAAGTGACAATCCTAAACTATCAAGCATCGGATATAAAAGTTCAAGTACCTCAATGATATAAAACTCCTTCAAAAAGGTATAATCAATGCGACTATGAAACAAAAAGATGGACAGGATATCAAATAGGACATTTAATTCTGCTTTGTCGTGCCGCAAGTAATTCAAGAAGCATTTGATGAGCCATTTACTTTCCTTCACCTGCATAATGAGATGTTATGAATTAATCGCAAGAGCTGATAATTTAGATGAAAATCACTAAATAGAGTTGAACAAAGGAATTTCCTACCAAGCAGTACAAATGTTAGCAGAAACTTCCAAACTATATTCTTTGGAGATAAATTAAAACAATTTTGCATATAAAAAAAAAATCGAGATCCAACAAAATCATAACAGTTAAAAATGTATCAAAATGACAAAAAGAAGAAATAAATGAAGAATATGATAATGAAAGGATGATGCATTCTAGAGAATAAGCTCTATCCACTATTTTACACTCCAATCAAAATATCTATAAGGTTCCCAAAATCTTCTATAATATGCATAGAATCAATTCATAATTAATAAATCTATGGTTCGGAACCATCCATCACTAACCTATCAAAGCTTCTACCCCTTCAAAAGCTCTCCTAATTCTTTCTTCCCACACAACCAAAAAATAGCAGGGGGAAAATGTTTTTCCCCACCGCTAACACCCTTCCACGGCCAACTCTCATCCCTTACATTGTCTGTCATGACCCAACTGATTCCCAATAATCCATACACCATGATCCATAACTTGTATGCCCATGGACACCACAGCAATATATGATCACAAGATTCTTCTGCACCTTGCACAGGGAGCATCCATTTACCAAAATCTTTCCCCTTCTCCTTAGCTTGTCAAGTAAGTATACATCTGTTCCCTGCCTCCCAAGCAGAAAAAGCCATTCTTGGTGGAGCACTCGTCTTCCAACTTTGCTTGTACGGAAAGCTGGTCTTAGAGGAGTCATTTT